CTTGAGTTATAAAAACGAGACGCCGTATACTGAGATTACTAAATAGCCATTAACGAGTATATTATAGTAGTAATAATTTCACCATACTGAACCAAACATATTGCATGTTTATTTTATTTGTCTGTCACTTTGTACATTTGTTCTGTTGGGATTTTGCGAAAATTTCAATGATAGAATATTTGATAATTTTATTTTTAGTTCCGAGGACTTTTTTCTCAAACGACTAAAACAAAATATTTCTGCTTTTTGTCTGTGTTCGGTGGAATTTTTTAAGTTCCCTGAAACACGTGATTTAATGAGGTTTCGAAACGTTTCAAAACTTAAATGGTGGAGTGTATAAAAGAAGCCTTTGAATACAATGCTGAAAAGAAATCGCATAAATGAAACAAAGAACAATTCATTTTGACCGAATGTAATGAAAGCGTAATATGTAATAAATTATATAAATGAAAGATATTTAATAAAAAATAAAGTTATATTCTTATATGGAACCTTCACTACTATATTCATCGCTATCATTGATAAAAAGTAAAATTCCAAACTTTTGATAAGTGTAAGAGAGGTACCCGGAGCAGCCCCATCAAATCCAACCTCCGCCCACCGAAGTAGGCCACCTCCAATCGGCTGCAGAGGACAGGGAGAGCGGCAACGACACACCGACACTCCTCTTCCTCTGCAGCCCCACCGCGTCCACCATCTAACGGTGGTGGCCCCGCTAGGCCGCGGGAGATAGGGACGAGCGGCGCATCGCCATACCGACACTCCTCTTCCCCCGCGGCCCCCCTACCGTCGGCCCACCTCCGGACCAAGATGGCTGCCGACGCAGGACCACCGAAATGGCCCCGCTCCAGCCGCCGCACCGACGGGCTAGCCCCGGCAGCACGGCCCGCGCAGCGCCTCCTACCGCAAAACGGCCGGAGACACCGCGCTACCTCCAAGGAGGAGACGGCGCCCTCCTGACACCGCTCCCCCTGCCCCTCCTGGCTGTTGGTCCGCGCCGGATTGCTCCGGTACCACAAGCTCCTGTCTGGGGGAACAGTCGCGAGTGGCATTCCCCTATCCGCCACCCGGGGGACGCGCCCGGTAGCAGTCAGCCTCTGCCCCGGGTTGATAAGTGTACCTAGGCGAAAAACTGACTTAGTTTTTTTTTAAATCTGTTAAATACAATCAGTGTTACCAAACTAGCAAAAACTTCTCATTATCTTCTATTAACTATTATATATATTTTACTTATCTATTATATATATTCTTCTCATTATATGTATTCAAATCTTTTGAACGTTCCACTGTTAGGCGCGGACTTCCGTGTAGGCCATAGACCATAGTCCACTAACGTTGGCGAAGTGCTTGTTGGCGGCCTTCACATAAATTTCGAGTTTCGACAACTCATTTCTATATATGTACATTGTACATAAATTAAATTATTTTTTCCGAATCGTATGCATATAAAAAGATTAAAGAACAAAAAAAGATAACAACAGTTAACTTAATTCGATAACGGTAAATTACACAAGTTCAAGTATGAAACTTGACCTGGATCGGTAAATCTAAATGGGTAATTGCCTGCGAACTTAAAACGACCCATTTCCGCTCTTTGCGATGTATTTAGTAACTTTCTGTTTCTTACAATGGACCCTACCTAAGGATTGAAGCTGACTCAAGGTATAAATAGCCAAAAAAAAAAAAAAATATGTTTATTCAGGATATACATATGTATAAGGAAACTTCGAATTTCACTTAGCAACTTGAAGAAATCGTTTATAAATTGTCAGATTTCATTATAATACATGTATATTGTATGTACGAGAATATAAAACATATTCTATGTAAGAGTTAGAAAGGACTTCTTATATTTTGCTGTAAAGTTTCGCGAGTAACACGTTTTGGATACATGTAATTAGTAATAGAATATTTGAATTCATCTTTTTAATGAAGCACATATAACTTGTGAGATGTTTACCCTTATAATATAAAAAAAAAAAATATGAAAATGGATGCATGCCCGTTTTCATATTTTTCTTTAAAATTGCACCCATAAGTGTAAAATTAATTATTTTTAAGTGATTTCGCAGTAGTGGCACCTTTGTTTTTTTTTTGTTTTGGTTTTGGTTTATTTTTGTTATTAAGTACATAATTTAATTTTCGAATATTAACGACTCCCAGAGTTAGAACTCAAAATTGAAATTATTTCATTTAAACTATACAACCGTCATTTGGTAACTATCATTTTATATATATCGAAATATAAATATATATTTCTGTTTCATCTAGCTAGTCGATGCGGAGAAAATAGAGCATCCTGACGCAAGAACAGACCTATGAACCTATAACAGTTCCATTTTCTCTTAAGCAGATTAACAAAGACCGTATTAGCATTTATATACTAAGCCAATTTTTATACATACCCATAATCTAATGATGCATATTTACGCTATACATTTAATACTATCTTAATATAGGGTAAAACCCGGATAGTCGCCTCAGTTGGATACATGCCCCGGTTTTCAATACGCTATATTAGAGATGTCCCTGATGTTAGCGCTCTTCTGTAATTTGAAGGGCCTCTTCCACAGACCTTAGGACAAAAATCTTCCACGGCAGGACGTTAACGAGCGTTGAAATTATATTCGCGTGTATTTTCTATTGATTTTTTTTTTGCAGTTGTCGATTCAGTCAACTTTTTGCTTCTACGCGTGTACTGAAGCTTAAGTTACACTACCTATTATCTTAAACTGTCGAATAACATTTATTTATTTTTCAAAATATAAGGGCAAGTATCCGTACCGAAAAGGATAGTCGCCCCATATAATTGTGCGGATAGTCGCCCTAAGGACAATTAGTGTTGTAGGTACGCGAAATGCTTCGCAAATATCGGTAAGAGCTTAGTAAAAGGGCTACACAATCTGCAGAAGTTTTAAATTTCAACGAAAAAAATGTCCAAAAACAAGATAAAGAAGAAGAAACAAACATTACAAAAAGAACTAGAATGGAGACAACGAAATAAAAAGATTTTAAGACAGTAAAAAATAAATTAGATAACAGCGAGATGATAAAAAATGATAAATCATGTGTACCGCTATACAACGCTGGAGATATATTATGAAAAATAAGGGTTGAAACGTGTAATAGAGGAGTAAAATAATTGATTATGTACACAGACTTATGGGCTTTATTGGTAACCTCTATGGTATAATGGCTAGCATGTACGGCTACAGATTCGGAGGTTCTGGGTTCGAGTCCCGGAACGGGCCAAGTTTAATTACTGAGATTTTCTGTTAAGATGTTCTCACTAATAGCTCAGAGTTGGGAAGTTGGCGGTGTTACATCCTTGTGCCTCGGGGAGCATGTAAAACCGTCGGTCCTGCGCATTAACTCTCACCGGTCGTGTCAATGTATCGTCGACGTCCCATCGGACTTTGAGGATAAAAGGAATAGAGAGTATACTTGTGCGCGTACACTATAATATCTCCTGCGCATCTGACCTCAGTGAGATTGGCGGCCATGGTCGAAATCGAACGACATGAGTTTTTTGACTAGACTTTAAACTTTCATGGTCAAAACTTGACAATAATATTATGTAAAGCGGGATATTTACCATGGTAATGCTAGTCATGACTAGCATTTATTTTTTAGAGTTCCCGATATTTCGTCACTGTTGCAAGCACCATGATCACGGATATACTGTATCCCTAGGTCTTCCGCAATTTTATACATGTTTATAAATCACTTTCTTATTAAAGTCAATGTTGAGTTACTCGCGTTTCTTTCAACTAGTGAAGTTATAATGTCAAAAATTTCGACAAATTTCATAGAAAATCTGCAGTATAGGATATACAAGAACATAATTTTAATTATTTTGGTGTTTTTTTTTTCTTTTATTCATATTATATTTAACTAGCGACTCATCCTCAACTTTCTTCCCCATTTTCACCTCCATAAGGGATGATTTCCGGGATAAAAAGTATCCTATGTCCTTCCCAGGGTCTCAAACTATTATCTTACCACATCTAAATCGGTTCAGTAGATTCAGGGATACCCCCTCAACCTCACAAACTTCACCTCTTTATAATATTAGCATAGATATAGTAGCTAGATATTTTTATCATTCAATTATTTATATCCACTAACAAGCGACATCTAGTGGGACAGTATATTACTATGATCAAAATGAAACTCTTACAAAAGCGCCATCTTGATTGTCTTTATTAAAATAATTTTATTTTAGTTCTAGGAGCAATGTGCAAAATTGCAAATAGTCAACAATCAGCAATTATTATTTATTTTGATTAAGTTCAGTCTTTAATATTTAAGAAATATTATTGACATCAAACATTTTTAGTACCTAGAATAATTGAAGATACCTATGAATATTAACATTTTACTTTAATTTTTTATGATTAATGTTTTTTCAAAGTTATACTAAAATGGATATAAAAAATTATAAAAATACATTCATTCCTGTATCTAGATATAATGTTATATGTTAACATGTACCTACATATTGTTGTCTAATTATATATCAGAATTGTATTCTATTTAATAAAATACTTAATATTTTTTAATTCTATTGAGAGAAGAATGTGACATTAACCTATTGATATAATAATTAATATGCATTGAATGCTAGTTTGGGTACTATCGAAAAACTTAAATTTATTTATCATTTACATATTTTAAAAAAATATTAAAAATAGGATATTTACATGTAAATATACATTTTCGCCAAGAATAATGTGCCTTAAAATGATGAAAATCTTTATCTTGATTGTGCAATACTTACTACAAAGAAAATATGTCGGACGGAAATTAGATTCTTCTAGGAAATTGTGTCAAGTAAAATAAACCAGGAAGTGATTTTGATAACGATATTTGCAATATTTTTGGCAATTTCTTAAAATAATCATGGATAGATTGAAATGAGCCCTTAAAATAAAATAATAGTGGTAAATACACTATTTTTACAATCATAAATAAGGTTAACAAAGAAAAATGGAACTTACATTCTGAGATTCCTCTTCTAGAACGGCCATTGTCTCAAAATCAATATTCATTTTGTTTTATTACTTCAACTTTTCACTTCAAAATCAAAATAAGTTAATAGATTTATCAAAAACGACAAAAACAGAAATTATATAAAAAAATACTAATATCCAACAAAAGTATTGTTTACAAACTGGCAAGGTCATTTGACATATTTTGGTAACATACGTCACTTGACGTCAGACAAGTATTGATTAGCTTAAAATTGCTATTATAGAAAAATGTAAAATTATTAATACCTCAGTTTTTTCGACCTTTTTAGCTTAAAATATGATTAATTTTTTTATTGTATATAATTATGATTATAGTATAGCTTTATATTTTTTTTGTAAAATTTTCGAGGTAGATACAAAACAAATTCCATGACTCACATTGATAACATTAATAATCTGTTGTTTCTGGAAAAAAAGTTGCAATGTATAAAAATGATACGTCAAGTTTTTTCGGACTCGCTTAAAATTTTCTGTGATAATTCTGGAGTATAGTTTTATGTTTTGTGATCGTGTGATGTGGCCTTAGGAAAAAGAAAATTCTTTGATTATCATTGTCTTTTTAGAATGTGAATGGAGTGTTGTACAGCGACAGTGTTTTTATATTATTTGAAGCGATTTATGTTTTAGTTTTAGTGTCATTGAAATATCACGATGCGTATCGGATTTGTGTTGTATTGGTGCGTATTTGGTCTTCATCTCTGCAAAGCAGACGATGTGGAAAGGACAGATTATAGAGAAGGTGCGAGAAGGCAGTGGGGTCCTATAGTGAGGAGTGGATCGTTCATCAGCGATTCCGCCAGCGCCGCGTCCAATGAAATCAGTAAGTATTTGTCAGCTTATTGGCTCATGACACCTGTTGGCGTCCTTTATTCACTTATTTGAATTATCGTTTCGTAGCCAAAAACATCACGCGAAGTTTATTTAAAAAGAATTCTGAATTACCAGTAAACATTAGAGGTATTAAATAAAGGTTAAAGCTTCGACCTTAAAACAACTGTTTGCCTTAAGTGGTAAAACAAGAACCTTTTGGCCCTGCTCCATAAATAATTATTAATTTCTTATTTAACATCTGCTATTAAATAAAAATAACTTTATTTAAGATAAATACCAAATATACTTTTATTTGTTCAATACAATTACTTAGTAGCTTTTAAACAAACATCATTTATAAGAAAAATAGATGTTTTTTATAAGTGTCGGAAAAGCTACACATGCTGTTGAATGAAAATAAATATAATATCATGTATGGGGTTAGTTAATTAATTAGTATGTCATAAATATATTTTAAATCACTATAAAGCTATTTCTCTTAGAATATGTCTTAGACACTTGGCAAGTTTTGTTAAAACTGTTTTTTTTTTTTAAATTCATTTACACATGTTATAATTGCATGAGCATGAGTTACTCATTATATGTTACTTTCAAACAATATCTAGTTCTGATCATAATCAACTGATATTTTACTGTATCAAAAAAAGCTAGAATGATATATGTGTAAAGCTGTTTAAAGGTTTTTCCCTAATATTAAGAAAACTATAAGTGAAACCTTGAAGATGCAAGAATTATTATGCTTTCAATGTCTCTTCAGCCATTGAAACATCCTTAATATACATCATTTATGGTCAAATTAAATTTATCCTGTATTCCGCTATGATAGGTATATTAACAAAACTTTTGTGATAATCTCTCATATTACAGTAGGGACAAGTAGCAATCTTTAAACTCATTCATTCATGGACATTCATATTTACTATTTATAAAATTACAGTGATAGTGTAATTTGATGACTGTCTGTAAAACTTAAAAGTATATTATTTGTTAATATATTATATTATTTGAGTTTATGTGTGGAAAATTAAGTCCACCCTACATTACATTTATTACATTTACATATTGATTATTGACACTAATTAATTATCTATACTAATATTATAAAGAGGTAAAGTTTGTGAGGTTGTAGGAGGTAATCTCTGGATCTAATGAACCAATTTAGATGAAATTTGGTAAAAAGATAGTTTGAGACCCTGGGAAGGACATAGGATACTTACTTACTTTATCCCGGAAATAATCCCTTAAGGGGGGAAAATGAAACCCGAGCGAAGCGAGGGTGAGTCGCTAGTGTTACATAAAGCAAAAGTAGTTACAGTTCCAAATTTGTCAATAAGTTATATAGTAACAGGTTGAACATGTATTAAATATGCCACCAAAAATTGTAAACAATTGCACAATATATAATGTAGTTATAAATCAAATATTATTACTATCCATACATAATGTGATAACAGGATGGATTTTTACATTGAAATTTTGATAAAAAAATCATGCAATGGAAGTGATAAGCTTTTAGTATAGTAGTAGTAGTAATAGTATAATATTACAGCTTAATTTCCCCTGTCGACCTTTTTTTAAACATTGGGAAATGTCACTGCACATTTCACCTGCATGTATACTGGTGGTTAGTCGAGGCTCACGAGTTGAAGAAAAGTAGTACTCTGTAAAAGCCAGTGAAGCTACCTTTGTCTTAATGAGGCATAGCAGGATCACTAACGTTCCTTTTTTTTGATGGTGCTGGGGAAACCCATCATGGGGAGGATATTGTGAGAATTGTACTCACTAAAACCCATAGCGGAACCAGTTGACGCAGTGCAATGGGGCGTTGCAGGATCTCTTGCACACCCATTACAACACCTCTACAGACACTACTGAAGACGACCTCGAATCACGCGGGGCAGTATAGCCTAAATCAGGATGCCCTCAATTCACAGAGCATCCCGACCGCCCCTATTCCAGTACAGATAAGTGCAGGAGGGTCAACGAGAGTCCCACCGCAGTAACTGCTCTAGGATGATGGGAAGAGATGCAAATACCAGGGCCTCCTCTCCCCCAGCCGACGGCGACTTTCGACTCCAGGGTGTGCTTAGGTGTTAGCCTGGCGTTCCCTCTCCGCCGTGATCACTTACGCTACTACCACGATGTCCAAATGACGCGAAGCCTACCGAGGCTATCCCCTGATCATTCATGCACCTCATGAGCTCGCCCGACCTTGGGTATCTTGAGTAATTTTTAAAGGGACGACCACGTCAAGGACGACAAATTCCTCTCTGTCCGCTACAATCGAGGGGACACTTTCACATTCCTCTCTCTTTCAAGAGAAGTACCAGGAGCGTCTTGCATGGTACATATTACTTACATGATTCACACGCACACCCAACGAAGTGGACCGGCTTTCAAAAACGTCTTTAGGCTTCATGGTTGGGGTCTGGATTGCCTGTAACTACTGGGCCTCAATTATTGTAAAAATAACGCTGTAATATAAGGATTACAAATTGGAGTTATACAACAAGTATTTGCAAACTTCAAAAACAGAATACCTATTATTATCAAAATGCTTTTGTACATCGAAATAAGTACATACACTGTACCTAGTACCTATGTTAGAATATATTCAGAAATTAAATGATAAAATTTAAAATAGCTCACTTCATAAATTAAATTTCAAAGAATGACTAAAATAAATACGACATTGAAATAACTAATTGTTAGACAAGTTTAGAGGAATTTTATGTGCAAAAAATATTCGTATAAAATACCGATTGTTAAATATAATATGCATAGCACCTGAAAACTATTAGGTACATATTGTCAGTAATCACGTGTTTCTATACACAGATGTGATTTAAAATAGTCCGCGTATGAGATCCGTCTGCCATTGATCTTACTGTGACTCATTGTGCCGAGTCGCGTCTACCGAAACTATAAGGCGTGATAACTTATCTGTTAATTTTAAATATCGTGTTTAATTAGATAAAACTAGCGGCTCGCCCTCGCTCCGTTTGCTCCTCGCACGGGATCCGTACATTTTTCCGGGATAAAAGTAGCCGTTATTCTGATGTATGAGCTATATTATTGTAAAGTTTCATTAAAATCTATTCACTAGTTTTTGCGTGAAGGAGTAAAAAATATTCATACATCTATCTATACATCCAGACAGACATGCATACTCACAAATTTTCGTATTTATAATATTAGTAGAGTTAAATACCTCGTTATAAGGAACAAACTGTACTCAGAGACTAATACATGATAAGAAAACCCCTTTCGTAAACCAGTATACCTATCACAATCATGAATCCACCGAAGTAAAAGTAAGCGTTAAAAATTCAGGTTACATTCATTTAAAACCGTGTCGTTCAAGTTTTATTAAATTGTAAATTCATGTTCGTAATAACAATTATCAAGTACATACTTACCAGCAAAGTGGCGATTAATAATAAAAACACAGATGAATAGAATGTATTGTTTTCTGAAACACAAAAAAAAATATATTAATAACATCTGCAATAGGATGTGCTTCGGCTTGCGTGCGGCAGATGTCTTATACACGATCTTTTCCAGTTATTTAAAGCAAAACAAAACGCTTAAATTAACTAATATCTACACTAATATTATAGATTGTGATTTTTTGTGTTTTTTGAACACTTACTTTTTATTTAACACTTATTCGTCGTATATGGAGTGGTTATCAGATTTGATTTTTTTCTTTCCATTTAATTTAATACGTATCAAATGACAGGCTACAACACTTTGGAGTGAAACAAACGCATAGCGGATTTAGGCTGAGGTCCGGGCGTAGGGTGACAAATTTTGAGGAGCGCCAAAATTTTTAAGACGACTAAAATTAAAAATCGATTGGGTTTTTTGTAAACAGTAAGACCAAATTTTAATGTTTATTTTTTTGCGCTCTTAAAATCTAAACATTGTACCATTTCAAGGGTAGAATTTCGATGTTGAAATAATTAGTCTACATGGATTATATACTGTTACGAAAGAAAAAGGACACCATATTGACTTGGGCCAAGGGCGCCATCGAACCTAAATCCACTACTGAGCAAACATAATATGTATGTAAGTATATGATACATAAACTACAAAACGCTTGTTTGTTATCCATACAAATTAAAAGTCGTGACTTTTCTTTTATATCAATAACGTTACTGTGTACATATTTTTAGGTATTATACAACTTTAAAATTATATTTTTCCAAGGAATAACTACTTCTAGCAGTCGTTCATTAGTATATCAACATTTCGTGCGATTCTATTTTTTGTTTATCTTGTAAATCAGACGTTCCACAAACTGATAATTCCGAGCAATATTTACACAATCCAGTTATGAGCTTAACGCGAATGCTTAATTGAGGATAACCTCATAACCAATTTAAGAACTTTTTATATAAAACTATCTTTTCGGATTTTGTCGCGGATTTATTTGCATCTTTGTTTCCCGACGTTTCGAATGCTTTACAGCAATCATGGTCACGGGAGAGACTGAGGTGTTAGATGTCTCTAAGGTATTATATAGTTGTTACAGACAGCCTACCCATAATTAACAAAATGAATTCAAAAAATTGAAAAATGGCACTAAAGTACCTTACAATATTTTAACTTTTAACTTTATATATTTTTATATAATTTTAATTAGCTTTATAATTGAATATAGAATATTATTTATTTAATTTAAGCTTTTATTATTATAATTATTACAATTTTAAAAATATTAATTATTAATTTACATTTTTAGTGTTGCCATTATTATATTTATAACCATAAAGAAAAAATCATAATAAGTATATTTGCTTAATAATTTGTTTTTTAAATAATAGCAAATTTAAATTAAAAATTATTATTTTTAATTAATCTTAACTTTTTCAAATTACACATAGATCAATTGTGGCTTAAATAATTAATATATTATGATTTTTTCCTTATGGTTATAAATATAATAATGGCAACACTAAAAATGTAGATTAATAATTAATA